CGCGCGTTATCGGGGGAGCCAAAGAAACGTAGCTCAGCTCTCGTCTTTTAATATTTATTCCAGAATTCTCGCCGATCTCTTCACGCGCGACAATTTAATCGTCGACCCGGTGAAATATTAATTTCCCCTCCTGGTCGTTCCAGAGTCCGTTTTACTATTCTCGTAACCGAGATCGAACAGACACTCTGCGCACAGGTATCAGCTCTTTCCCAGCCGGACAATCAGCAACAAGATCCACCTGCTCGATCGAATTACTTGTAAATATAGTATTGTACGATCCATAATATTTATAATTAAGCTCGTGTGTATCAAGGTTTCCAATAAACTGTAGAAGGAGTAGTCTCGACTTTTCATTCCTTCGTCTTCATTCATTGAAGATGCAAAGCAATGCGTAATCTATCCAAATGAAACAGTATAAAGACAATAAAAGAATTCAATTTCGATTCTTAAACTAACTTTGATCATAAATCCTTCACCTCGATTCAATTTCAGTTACATATTCGGATAGACTTGCGAAAAGTTAAAACTTCAACAATAATACTTCCTAAATTTCGAAATTGAAATTGAGTAAAGAGCGATTAAAATAACTTCGAGTAGCAAAATGTTCCTGCCGAAGCAGACGCGTTTTCGAGTCCCCGAGAAAAAGGATCGTTGAGGAAGAATGAATCCGGGCGATTTTATTCATCGCGCGCCGTCACGGCCGAGCGAAAAACCAGCGTGACGAAAGGGGACGTCTACCTGGCCGATTTTCAAAAATTCGACGTGTCCTGGAGCAACAATAGCCGCGGGCACGGAACGAATCGTGTTTTCCAAACAGCGTATCCTTCACCGATACCGGCGAGCATCGTTCTCGCAGCGGTCTCAAAGATCGCCGCAAATGGCTGCAGGAAAGTGAAAATCTACGCAATAGCTCATCCGCAAAATGAGACCCGGACCGCCATTTGTCGTTCGATCCTCCTTCGATAACGAAAGAAAAATACGGTAGTCCGACCGGCCGACGGTTCCGTATTATCGATGCTCGCGCTGTTGTTGGACAGGGAAAACGTTTCGAGTGCAGTAAGAATTGGGCTGATTGACGGAATGCACTTTGCAGCCATCCACGATTTTTCCGTGTCGTCGCTTAAACTAATAGCAGTGTCTTCTGTTCAAAAGGATATACTTTGTGCCTGTCATTATATAGGATCTTTTACAATTTTTGTAACTGCAAGATCATAAGTAGATTAAGTAGATCATTGACACTAGATTTACGGGCATTTATTGCACAATTTATTCTATTGTTCCCAGGGTGGATATTCGAGTATTTCAATCAAAATCGATGAAAATGTTTGTCGAATATTGTTTATAAAATTATACGACATATCGACGCGTTGCGTAAATCTAGTGTTACAATTCCGAACGAGAAGATTAGGATAATCATTTTAGTAGATTTCTTTAATGAAAAAGTATTAAGATTACTTTTAAAACGACTTCCGCAATTTTCAAACAATGTTTAAATTTGTGTAATATAATCATACGAATGAAAAACAAGAGAATGTTCCGGTGGTCAGAATAATTATCCACGAAATCGGATTTTAATCCGATGACGAGGATAAGCAAATACTTTTGGAGAAAGGGCTCGATCCTGCCGCGGTGGTAAAAGGGCGATCCTGCACAGTAACGAACTGTGTCCCGGGCGGCGAGCATGCGGCAATTAATCAAGCCGCAATAAATTAATTGCCGCTCCGGCAGGAATTAATTGCCACCCAGGCAATAATTATGGCTAACGCAGAAATAATTATCGTGTGCCACGGCGACGCGTTGATCCTCGCCCGACGATAATCCGCCAGTAATTCGATACCTACGTATATCTCGATCGATCCCCTCCCCTCTCCGCTCGGCCGCTCCGTTCCTCGTCAGGCCCTGCTTTTAATTTCAATAAAAGAGTCGCCACGACAAATAAATCGTCGTACCGCGGCGCGCGACGCTCGCAGCCGGATTAATGCATCGGAAAGGCGAAACGTTGGGCGAGTTATTGCTTGCGAGACCGACTCGATTTTATTGTCGCGCTGACACGAATATCACTTATAAATTCGAGCGTTAATTGCATTAAGAACGTGACCACCGGTATGGACGCCGAAGACATTATACAGAAGCTGTTCTCTTTATTTTAATGCTCGCTCGCGCGGCGGAGTTTTTATTGAAACGGAATTTATGCGGCATTAAAACGGGAGACCAAGGTTTTTATGGAATTCCCTTCGTCTAATTTATGGAATAATGATCCTTTTGGAAAATTATCGGGTATGGCCCATAAAATAGATAATAGATGATAAAACCGATAGGCTGATTGAACGTTCTGGATAATTCCGGTGTAATCCGTGTCGGAATAATTTTTCGTTTTTACTTTCGGTGTACACAGGCAGCCGCGAACCCCCGGTGATTCTTCAATATTTCAATCTGCAGCGAGATATCGCGGCGAATTCGAGCGTGTAGCTCCTTGGACGTGCAACTTCCGCTCGGAGAAACGCATCGCTGCACGAGGAGAGGCGGCCGGCCGGGCGGATATCAAAATGAAATCTCGCGGGCCAATAAATACTCGGTTATCGCGGCTAATCGAGTTATCGCGCATGGAAGCCGGTACGCCGACTGCGATCTATGACACAGCACGGGCTGAGCCCACGAAACTCCCTGTGAAATTCCTTTCCGCATAAAATCAAGACCATTGCTACAGAAAGATTGCGGATAACGGACGATGAAGCACAGAATTTGGTTTGCACGAGCCTGCAATAGATTTAACGCGATAGCCATAACTATGCCAATGGGAAAATAATATCGTGTAATTTCATTGTATCGCTGAATATCAGGGCCTGCGCTCTTAATCAATAATCACGCGATCATATTTTCCCTAATGTTATATAATACTGAGAACTATATAACTGATGGTTTATTCAATATTCTAGAGGTGCTGTCTGGGATCAATGTTTCTATTAATGTATCTATACAAACTACAAATGAAAACCTAATTGCTTAAAAGCTAACCCCATCTTCCAGCCTAATATCGCGTTCGTATTTTTTATCTATATTCCTTTTTCTTATGTTTAAATATTTTTCGATCCAATGTAATCGCAGTGCATCTAACTTAACCGTAGAAATATTCTGATTCGATTATAAGATTGCAAACTTCCATGAAAATGAAATTAAAATAAAACAAAGATCAGATTTGGAAAGGTAAAAAAGTGTCCGTTCCGATGACATTTGACTATACGATCGTGATTCACAGCACGCCAATTGTAGAACAAGCCTGACCGCGATCTGAAACGCATTCCGTGAACATCTTTGTACGCGCGCGGATCGTCGTGCATGGCTCGTCCGCGTGGTAAAGCGCGTCCTGTGTATACACTTAATAAAGTAGAGGTGTGGAGTTCCGCGATAGCGGCTCGCGGAAGTTATGCCCGACCGGAATCGCTGTTAGGTCTCCCCAGCGCGAGGCAACGTTTGCTGAATTATTGCGCGGGTAAATGCCGCGCATAATTCGACGACGCGCGCTGTTTCCTCGTTTCCCTGGCCAGCTATGATTTAACCGACGATCCTTTTTGATTCTCCTCGTCCGTCACCACCGTCCCACACGCGGACGCGATGATTTGTGCGTTTTTAATGGAAATTTAATCACCGATCTTCCGAACTTTTCCGCGAGAAGTTCATCGCATCGAAATCGAGCCCCGAAGATTTTGGGAAAGATGGCGCGAGCTAATTGAGACTATATTTCGAAGGAACGATGGCTCCGCGATGGCGTCCGCTCAGTAAACCCTTAGGACACGGATTACGAACCAAACTTGTGGAAGGACTATTTCATTCCGTCGATTTCGAAGGTTGATTTAACCCTTTGTACTCCAGTGTTTCACTAGAAATAATCAACATTTTCTAATCAGATACAGACGATATTTTCTGAAACTAATTTAACGAGAAATAGCAAATAAATTGGGGAATGGAACTATTTTATTTCAATATTTCAAACTTTATTGAGCTTTACAATTTTGATGTATCGAATCAATTGGTGACTGAGGAGCATCTATGGAGTACAAAGGGTTAATGATTGATTCAACGCCGATTTAAAAATATTTTGAAATGCGAAGTAATGTCGATGATAAAGTACATAATTCGATATTGTGTAGATT